AGAAATAACAAAACAAGTGTTGCAGATATATCATATATTAAACAGTAAGTACAACAGACGAGTATTACACAACTAGTGAGTGTGTGTCGGTTGACTCGGCACTCTATTCGACTGCTCCCCAAAGGCCTTCTTTCCTACTAATCTTATAGTAGCTGGAAGAGTCCAACAGACTCTTTAGAGGGAGGACACCACAACAGAATGCAAATTCAAGGTTTGGTGAAAGAAATTTCAGTTTTACTATAAATATTTTGAATATGTAAGAAGGGATCCTGTTTGAAAAAACTTGTTCCTAATCTATTTTTCTCTCTTGTAAAAGTGATGTCTTCTTAGTGAAAAGTGTTATTTAGAATTCTAGAGTAGAAGTGAATTTGAAAGTTGATTATCACTTAAAAAATCTACACCGAGATGCTCATATTCTTTATTATCTGTGAATTGCCAAGAATTCTAGGGATATATAATGAAGTGGTTTTCCATGGTCATTATTAAAGTTTGAAATTCAAAGTTTTCCCATAGGTAAGTGGAAGGAGAAAAGCTGGATTCATGCCGTTCTTAAACACATAAGTGTAAAAGTGAATGGAACCAGCTAGATCGAAATTTCAACTCTGCTTACCAATTCCACTTTCTGTAGTAATTAGGAATAAACTTTTTGGCAAAGAAATTAATTTAGTTTCATATATCCCCAGATCATATAATAATAATAATAATGTTTATTTTAAAGCACGTGACTGAAAAAGTTTATTTTTCTTTTATAACATTTTGATAAAAAAGAAAAAAAAAAGTCTTCACTTTTTAACTATTAAGCAATTATTTAATTTCCTGTGTCATTTTTAAGTTTAGCAGTAATTTTTTAGAAGGTGGTTTAAAAGAAAAAAGTGTTCTGAAACATTGAATGGTTATCAATCAAACTAAAGAAACCAAACAAAAACAAATAAAGACTTTACCTTGCAGCCTTCACAAGCAGAAACGTTATAATGATATCCAGATGACTTGTCACCACATACAACACAGGGCTTATATTTTCGTTGTTCAAGTTCTGGGGATTTGTTGCGCCGTCTCTGCCGTCCCTGATGCTGTGTAACTATTTGTGCTACAGAGAAAATGATTCCAATTAAAGATGTACACAACCATTTCATTTATTCACAATAATATAAATGTATGAAAATTTTTTTTTTTTTTTTTTTTTTTTTAAATTCCCAATCTTTTAATCTGGTCAATTTAAAGATAATGAGTAATCTAATTATATATAACTTCATATATGAAATAAGTTCCACCAATTTAAATGTTGGGAAAAATAAAAAAAAAATAAAAAAGGTGAACATTTTCTTCAAAATTTTGCACTAGAATTGTTCAGTTGCTAATAGGATTTTAGTCATGTTATAATTGCTTCAGATTTGGATGTAATGTACACAGCAAAATACAGAAATATATAAAATATATAGGAGAAAAAAAATTCAAGTAAAATATCTTATTAGATTTATATATATTTGATAGTGATAATAAAGGTTTATTATAAGTGTGCACAAATTCATGGCACACTATTTGAAAAACTATAATCTGAATACATTGATAAAAACCAGATTTTCACTGAAAACTTTTACACATGTCTAATTATAAAGATATATCACAGACCTAATTACAAAGATATTTTTACACTAAATATAGAAAATTTCTTATTGAAAGAAAAATTGTTAACTCTTGGAAATTTGGCGGGGGGAGGGCAAATTAGAAAAAAAAAAATTTCTTGCATGAAATTCAGTCTTCAAATTTTAGCGTAAATTTGGCTAAATTTATAACACAAATATTTTATATTTTTCTCTTAGTAGCTTTGACAAACATCTGTTCTCACAATCTATACACAATGATAGAATTCAAGTTTTAAATTATATAATAAAAACTTTGAATAAAGTGACTAACAGGAACCAAGCATACTACTCAGGAAGTTTAAAAAAAATAAACACTGATTTAGGGTATTTTTCAATTCCACAAAAAACCCTATTAAATGAATGCCAGCACATTTGAATGTTGATAATCAGTGATAATTAATATTTACCATTATCACATAACAGCCAGAGTTCCAATAAAAATTTGATTTGGTTGTACCTCCAGAAGAACTTTGCTTGTTTTAAGGTGTTAATTACAGTATCTAGTGTCTTTAACTTATGTAATGTTTTGACCTTTTTTATGGACATGTGATGGTTTGGTTTGGTTTGGTTTGTTTTACAGCATATTAACCTCAATGGGTTATTTAATGCAGACAAGATTTTTATTGGTGGTAATATTTTTTTTCTTCAAAAATTTATTGCTGGTAATATTTATTTATTTATTTTTTTACACTTACATAGTGTTTTGATCCCATTTTGGGGTTAACTATTTATCCATAGCTGGGACCCTAACAGGTGCTACCACTCTGTGTCAGGATGTACCTGGGAATACCAGCAATTAAGATGTGGTTTCACGCTCCTCAAAACCTCCTGATCAGAGGCCTTGCTGTTGGATGTAGTTTATCATCTTACCCAGGACGGATGAACATATGAAAAGACATTTGAAAATTTATTTGATAAAACTATAACTCATACTCATTTTTAGCCACAAGTAGCACACCCATGAAAATATCATGGTTGTCCTATTTGAATTTTCTGATTAACCATAATTAATGATTGAATAAACTTCTTGCATGTTCCACAACTATAGAATACCTGTGGAAAAATTCCCCTATTGCATGGTTAAATATTTGAGCTTAACAAAATACATTAACAATCATCATAAATATGAATGCTGGTCATTATTTAAAGAGAATATAAATGAAAAGATCTAAAATTGACAAGGTTTTTGATTTCACTGAAGCAAACCTTAAACATATGAGAGTGTTATCAGCTATCTTCTCTTGCTTTTTGATTATCAAACATTATGTATGCTTTCTTTTTTTCTCACTAAAATCAAACAAAATCTCCAATCTATCTTTAGTTTTTCTACACAATCAAAACAGAATGGTCCATTATTTATCTGAGGTAATAGCAAGACATAATGCATACACTAACTAACCTACTAATGAAGTAACAAGCAGAATCATAATAGGATACAATAATTATTGACACCTCATTGAGATTTCCATGAGATGAATTTTTTCTTCAATTTTTAAAAATTTAGAAAATTATGTTTTTTTATTATTGAAATAATAAATATATTATCAGAAAGAAAGAAATGGGAAAAAAATTCTTCCTACGAAAAGTTGCCATTTAATGGTTTTTTTTTTTTTTTTAATAGCAGGCCTCTTTAGAACATAGTTAATTTTTCTTTATTAATCTGTGAACTGATTGACTTCTTGGGAAATATAGTGAAATGATTTCCTTCTCTATGGTTTGGAATTCAGAGTTTTCCTATAGTTAAGTGGAAAGAGAATACTATACCAGAATTTAAAATTAGCTTGCCAATTCCACGTTCTGCAGCAATTACTTATACTTAATGTTATAACAATGAAATAAAATTATCCATTCATATCTCTTGAATGGCAATCTTTCTAGAGATGGTGGCTCAATAAAAAAAAAAATCTGGTGTACTTGGACTAGGGTGAATGTCAGAGTTGGGCATTGAAAATTTGGAAGAGCATCTGGTCTTGCCTCCAATCATTATGACAAGATATACTGTCTTTGATTTGTGCAAGATTAATCTTGGTCCAGCCCTAACAAAAAAAAACAGTTATGTTTGTATGCATGCATATCTCTATCAACAAGAAATAAAAACATGGCAAAAAACATGAGAAAATTTATTAAAATTAGAAAGACTAAAGAGTAGAATGAAGGGCTGGTGGAGTACAATTAGGGTTGCTGGTTGTGGGGCTAAACCAAATAAATGTGCAATAGCAGGTAGAACAGTAAAATGAAAAAAAAATGTATGAATCAAATACACACTTACTATTATCAGATTGTGTTGATGTTGAAGGTTTGGTAGCATTTACTGGAAATTGGTCTTTGTTATCCTGAAGTAGAGTTTCTAATTGTCCTTTCTGTTTTAGATCACAATATAAATTCTCTTTGGGTATCCACTGAGAAGAGGTGGAGGAGGACACAGGTTCATTCAGTATGGTGTGTGATATTTGTAGTTGCTGTAGTGGAGGGGTTAATGAACTAGAGGTCACAATTTGCCGAGCAGTAGGCATGTCAGCAGCATAAGACATTCCAGTTGCTTCTCTTCCAAATGAAGTCTGATCAAAGAGAGAAGGTGACATAGACATGAAAGATAGTTCTGACTGATTTTGAATTCCATTGTTGCACCCATTGTATGTAGTATTTTGGGAACCTATTGTATTAGTCAATTGACCTAAGATGCTCGTTTGTGTCACTGCAGTTGGAACACCAGAAATTGAGGCTTGAGAAAGAATTGCTTTAATTTTCATTACTTCTTCTTGTTGCTCCAGTTGTTCTTGCTGCTCATCCTGAACCTCATCTTGCACATGCTCACCCTGAAAGTCCCGTGCTTGCTGAAGCTGCTGCTCTCGTGCTTGCTGACGTTGGGATTGCTGCTGTTCTCGTACTTGTTGGCGTGCTGCTTGCAGTAAAGGTTTCCCATGCAATTTTTGCCGCCTTGGTTGTTCTTGTTGCTGCTGTGTTTCTGTCTGTTGCTGCAGCTGTTGTTGTTGTGCCAAAAAATGAGAACTGAAATAATCTTGATGATTTAAATTTGGATTGAAGCTAGATTCTCCCATTTGGAATGTCTGAGTTGAACTTACTGGAGCATTATTCACTGGTTGCTGTGGTGGATATCCTGAAATGAATGTCGGGGAACATACAAGTGAAGGTCCTTGGTTTGGAAACTGGTTATGTGATGTTTGGGACATCATGTACATACTATCTGATACATTGGAAAAAGAGCTTTGAGGTGATGGCGTCAATGTTTTAATATAATAATTCAGAGATGGCTTTACATATTGTGAAGATGTAGCTTCTTGAGATCGATATTGATCATGAATTAATGTACTGTTGAAATTTTGATTATCATTGTACTGAGAAAGACCAACACTTGATGAATAATTTGGGGGTGGGATTTGTGATAGGGAGGGGTGTGATGTATAACCAGATGAAGCTGTTTGCTGAATTAAGGAATGGTTGTTCAATGAAGTTATTTCTGGTGGCGAATCATGATGGGAAGAGTTGGATGTAGCCATTTGTGGGGATGGGGTTGGAGGAGAACAGTATAATGGAGCTATTTGTGTGGGAGAGTTTGGGGACAAACAGTTAGCTACAGTTATTTGTCGGGGAGAGTTGTGAGGTGTAGTGTACAATGCAGCCATTTGTGGAGAAGGGGGAGGAGGTAAACAGTATAATGGGGACATTTGTGCAGACAAACTGTAAGACAAGTGGGTAGATGGAGCCATTTGTTGAGGCGAGCCATTTGGTGGAGCCACTTGCAATGGAGAATCACGAGGAGAATTGTTAAATGGTGCTACTTGTAAAAGAGAACTTGTAACCGAATTGTGAGATGGAGCTATCTGTAAAAGAGAGCCATATGAAGAACTACGAGATGTGGCACTTTGTTGAGGAGAGCCATGAGAAGAACTACGAGATGAGCTGCATTGAGGAGAAGTATGAGATGGGGCACTCTGTTGGGGAGATCCATGTGGAGAACTGTGAGATGGTGCGCTTTGTTGGGGAGATCCATTTGGAGAACTGTGAGATGGAACACTTCGTTGGGGAGATCCATGTGAAGAACTGTGAGATGGTGCGCTTTGTTGGGGAGATCCATGTGGAGAACTGTGAGATGGTGCGCTTTGTTGGGGAGATCCCCGTGGAGAACAGTGAGATGGAGCATTTTGATGGGGAGAACCATGAGGTGAATTGTGAGATGGAGCCATCTGTGATGGACTGTGTGGAGAATGCACTGATGTGGCTATTTGAAGTGGCAAGTTGTGTGTGGCATTATTGGCTTTTGAGGGGAGCAATTGTTGAGTTGTACCATTGCTAAATTCTGTAAAAAAAAGTATTTTAAAATTAGTGACATTTAATCTCAATACAACATTAGTCAACTATGATTCAATAATATTTTCAATATTTTTGATTTATTAAATTTTTAGAAGAAAAATTGCTTAAATATTATGATTTAAAACAGCAAGATAAAAAATGAGCAAAAAATTAATAATTACTAACAATATTTCACTACAAGAAATTATCAACAATATTTCACTACAAGAAATTATCAACAATATTTCACTACAAGAAATTATCAACAATATTTCACTACAAGAAATTATCAACAATATTTCACTACAAGAAATTATCAACAATATTTCAATACAAGAAATTCAACTAATACTACAAATCTATGTAAACAAAGATAGTAAGGCATTTAGGGCAAATAAAGAATGAAAGCTATTTCAATAGATTTGAATAACTGCAGCTGCTGGGTTTCATCACCGAATATGTAAAGCTGTTGTCAAACTCAGACAGGATTCTTGAGGGTATCGGTTGTGAATTTGTTTCACTCCAGGATTATTTTTATGTCCCATTCATGCTGCTGACCAACGACTGATTTTTTTTTTTTTTTTTTTTTTTACAGTTTATCAATCCCTTTTTTTAGTTTATCAATCCCTTACATATTTTTGATTGCAAAATTCTTTTTTTGCTCATGAATGTTGCATTAACGATTTTTTTTTTAGATGAAAATGCCTTTTCCAGATAAAAGTCCTACTATTTAACCAGTAGTCAAGAGAAGAAGAAATGTATTTATAACTTTCTCAAGGGCATTTACAAGTAAGTGAATGTAATGAACCAAACTGGAATTAGAACTCGGTTCTCCAAGTTTTCATTCTGAGCCACTATCCATCACACATCACTAACCAATGATAGTAGATTAATGGCTTGAGAGTTGCAATAAAATGTCACAATAAAAAATACTTATTATATCAGTAATCTTTTATTATCCTTATATACTCTTTCCTTTCTCTATATTTATAGATCATAATTTCTATAAAAATTAATGCCTTATCAGTAAATGCCTTTGTTATCTTGAATTGAAATTTTCAATATTTTACAGAACTCATGTTATGAGGTGTCCAGCAAGATATAGTGATTCTAAAATATTACTTCCAATATGGGATACTATTTCAATAATTTTACTCTTGATCTTGAGAAAATTTGTATCAAAGCAAATTCTCTTTTCAAGTCCGCCCCCCTTCAAATAGTTTCATAAAACAAAATTCTTTAATCACTTAAGCTTTTGTTAACTTGTATCATTTTTAGACCATTTTCATTTATATATATATATATATATATATATATATATATATATATATATATATATATATATATATATATATATATATATATATATATATATATATATATATATATATATATATATATATATATATATATATATATATATATATATATATATATATATATATATATATATATAATATATAATATATAATATATATTATATATATATATAAAGTGAACATAGAAGTCAACACTCAGAAGTGACAGGCTGTTTCATGCTGGACACAATCTTCAGGCAGCCTGATGATTGCATCCAGAATAAAACAGCCTGTAACCTCTGAATGTTGACTTCAATGTGCACTTTTATGTTTATATTTACATATGCTCTATCTCTGATATTAAGCACTTTATCCCATAAATATAGCACACCCTAAAACTATATTATATATATATATATATATATATATATATATACACACACACACAGTGTCCATAAAGTCTCTTTACAATTTAAAAAAATTATTACAAAAGCAAATGAACAAATATGTAAAAATTGTTATAAAATGAAGAGTAGATATTGAAGTTTCTTTTTAACTTTTATATGGTTAGCATTAGTTACACAAAGCACATCAAGACGGTACTTGGTTTCTTGCCATGTTTACTGTAGCATATCCTCATCAAGGGTGACAATAACATCAGTGATGTCCTATATCTTTGTTCGATACACAATATCTTTAAAATAACCCCATAGAAAAAAGTCCAGGGGAGTGATATCTAGTAAATGAGATGGCCATGAAATTAGACCATCCCTTCCAATCCACCAGTCTGGAAATGTTTAATTTAGGAACCTACAAACATGCAGTCCACAATCTGGTGCCCGAATACACAAATGCAATGTGATTAAAATCCTTCATAACTACTAAGTACATAGAACAAATCTGATTAAGATATCTCATCAGTTGCCTTTGTAATATATTTTTTTAATTGTAAAGAAACTTTATGGGTACCCTGTATATATAATGAAAATATGATCTGTACAGTTGTTTACTTTTTACAGTTTATCCGCCTTTTGCAGGTTACTTAAAGTCAGATATTATTTTTAGATGGTAAGAATTTTGGGGATATAACAATGATTTTACTGATACAAGTCCTATTAATTAACCCATGACTGGAGGGAGAAGAGGTGGATTCCCAAGGTTATTTGCACATAAGTGAATATAAAACACCTTACTGGAATTGAAACTCAGCTTGCCAATTTTCAATTTTGTGCCATTATCAATTACACCACATGCACATGCAATCTTACAGTACCTGGTATTTCCAACTAGATACTGACCAGGTTCAACATTGCTTAACTTCAGCGATTGTATGAGAACCAATGTTTCAAAGTGGTATGGCCATAAGTATGTTATATACAGATCATATAACTAAGAAATCCAAAGATTGGATATAGAAAGGTATCCGTGAAACTCTTGAGTTTAGATAAATGAATTATTTTATATATGAGCAGAGGTTTATATCCTGTGTAAATAAATACTTTTTTAGTAGCTCAGATAATTAACAGATGACAGAGTAGTTAAATGTAGAAAAAAAATAATGACATATGTGGTAAGGGTTTAACAATAACTGACTCAGGTTAACAATCTTTTGTTTTTTTTTTTAATCAATTCATCCCAAGCAACGCAATAATATCACTAAGATGCTGGGAATGAAAGAATGAGAAGACTTTAGAAGGAACCAGAAACCCAATCCTAAACAGAAAACAAGTGATAAAGCTTTACTCCTGTTCAAGAGACCAGAGAGGAGTGTGAATTGGATTTATACAAAAGAAATCATTTAAAAAAAAAAAATAAATAAAAAAATATGAGCAACTCATATCAAAATATCCAATATCCATGATAAAAAAAAATTTTTTTTTTTTGCTATTTATTGGCAATAATGAAAACTTACCCATATTAGTAGAAGTCAGATCAATTTCAATTTCTTTAACGCTTCTTCAACAAAGAATGCAGACAATACTGGAAATCCTTCTGAATTAGAATTTCTAGAAAAAAATATAAAGAGCAGAAAAGTTTTGAATATATTTTATGTATATAATCTTAAATTTATAAATGAATAAAAGTAACCTGCTGAAGTACCAAAGAATTATAGGAAGCTACCTATAAGATTGAGGGAGGGGGAAGGAGGAAGTGTATATTATAAGGATATGTAGGATAGATTATAGAGTTGACTCTGGACTTGAAGATTGTAGTGGTCAGGGAATCATCCTCTCAGGTGCCTGTTCCATAAAGTAAACAGTTCTGTATGAATGGAACTCACCCCTTACCAAAGGAACACAATGGGGATGATCATGTAATGCCAGGTCCTAGTTGGTAAGACTAAGGAATGTAACTCATTAGAACATTTGTTATACTGATTGAATAGTGAGAGGCTAGCAATGTTTGGTCTGTGGGTAAGGATTTGCAGGGTGAAAAATAATTAAATTTTTACTTCTCACTGATAATAGTTGGCACAAAAGAAGAAAAAAAAAAAAAAAAAGCATGCACTCACACACACACATTTAATATATTTTCTGTTTATACGTTATTTTATAGATATAATTTATTTAAGTAAATGCTATTTTTTTTTAATTAAACAGTATTAATTACATTTACTGACATGAAAGTTCAAGAAATTTCATACAAAATATGAACATTTGCTTAAATAAATTACATCTATTAAAAAAATAAAAAATATAATAAATAATTGTTCTGCTTAATCCATTTCATAACATATATAAAAAAAAATTAAAAAAATATTTAAACACTTTTTTAAACTGATGAATAAATCCCAAACTAAAAATTAAAGTTGATGGACTTAAATTTTGTTTTATTTATCTCTAAATGTGAAAAATATGAGGATCTAATTGAAAGAACTAATTTTGCTTTAATAAACAAAGTAAAAATTAACAAACAAATTTGTCTTACTTTCTGCTTCTCATAAACCAAATTGAAAATACAAGGGAGAATTTAAAAAAATGATAAACAAATATAGAAAATGTAGTCACAACATGAGATAATTATAAAATAAATTCTTTTGATTAAGACAGTAAAAACATTTTTGAGTGTGAATAGTTGAATTGAGGTAATACTCTTTTATATAGAAAATACATGCATAGAACAGAATTTCAAAAATTAAAATGAAAAAAAAAGTTGCTCTTAGCATGAAAATTGTTGAGAACATTGTATGGAATTATTCCAGGTATTTAACTGAAATATTTCAATAAAAATAAAGATGTTATTTTTATTAAAATTTCAACTCGATTTATTTTTATATTTATTCATTTTTTTAAACCTTAGTATTTTAGCATTTTTAATTTTCTTAAATATTGTATTGGCGTTTTAATTATGCTAATAACTACAAATGATTGCAAAGTAAAAAAAAAAAAAAATAAAAATAAAAAAAATTTAATTTCAGGACAGTTTAAATTTTTTTTTTTTTTTTTAGATGATTAAAGTTGTGTTGCATAATAGTTCCAAAAAGATAGTGAAAAAAAGTCAGTCTTGAACACTAGAGCCATTAATAGCTCCATAATATCCAGCTGACAGACTAGATTCATAACCTTATGCAATCTCCTCTCCCCATTATCTTGAAC